CGGATTACGGAAGCCCATATTCAAATGAGCCTAATTTTAGAATAATTTGAGAAGGTGTTATCTTGACCTTAATAAGCATAAGCGGGTGGCATTTGATGTCCCAAACATGCCCATTATTTTATTTGGATCAAACAAAGATTCTACAGATTAGAACGAAATTTCATTTTCAATGCTGTTCTTTAACATGCCCAAAATACCTCATAACTAAGGCTAAATTGCCAAGGTCTCTGGTGAGCACCAGACCACCACAGATGAACTCAGAGGGTCCAATAACCCCGTAATACCAAGTTTCGGCTCATTCAAATCCCCCGGGAGCTGAATTTCCAAAAAATGGGTAAGCCTTACACTATTCATGAGGAACCGCAATGAAAACTGTGTTTTCTAAAAAATGAGATTTCTTGTGAAGGTCATATCTTCTTCAACTTAAAGCCAATCAAGTTTAAATTTCAGAATGTTGTTCGTACACACGTTTTGACATATGGCACAACTTGAGATGACACTCGAAACAGAAGAAATCTTAGAGAAAAGTATGCCAAAAAACCATAAACATGGGACTTTACCTCAAATCAAAGCCATTCGAGTCACGGTCACAACGAATTCGCTCTTGAGGTTAACTGACATCGGGGCTTCGAGAAACAATCATGAGAGTGAAGGGATAACATTCCCTAAGAATGAGTTATGGGAATCAAACCCATGTTTTTAGATAGCTCTATATAAACACTTTTACTTCATGTGTAAGCTGTAACCCAAGCGTTGAAAGGATGAGCTATGTTGAATGAAATGCGTTAAAATTACGAGAGAAAGTGTTCTTTTGAGCTTTGTTGAAAACCTTTTGCCATTGAGAGAGATGAGAGAGAATACTTTACACATACCCCTCTCCCACACCCTCCACTTCCAAACTCTCTACTTCCATACCTCACACTTTCAAACTCCCCACTTTCATACCCCCTACACCCTACATCCTACACCATATCTACCTATACACCATACCTACACATACACCACACCTATCCATACACCACACCTACCCATATACCACATCTACCTATACACCATACTTATACCTACCCATACATCACACGTACCCATACACCAAGGTGTCAACCTCTCTTTAGCCATCAGTATTCTCCTTTTCCTCTCTATCTCTCCTCTTCTCTTATCTTCTTTTCTTTCTCTCTTCTCTTCTCTTCTCTTTTCTTCTCTTCTTTCTCTCTTTTTCTTTCTTTCTCCTCTCTTCTCTCTTTCTTTTTCTCTTCTCTCTCTTCCTCTCTCTTTCTCTCATCTAGGGCAACAGCTAGGCCTCTGCCCTTCTCTCTCTCTCCCTCTCTCTCTCT